CCATGGCCAGTCAGTAACAAAAAGCCTGGCTCTTAAGCAAATGATTTAAAAAAAAAAAATTAAGTACTAGGGATAAACATAGGGCCTCCCACATGCTAGAGATAGCTGTATTTCTAGTTACTCCCTTGGTCCTGATTTAAAACAAACAAACAAACAAACAAAAAACAGTCTCACTACTTAGGTGACCTGGAACTTGCTGTGTAGACCAGGCTGGCCTCAAACTCACAAAGATCTGCATTCCTCTGTTGCCCGAGTGGTGGGATTAAAGGTGTGCACCACCACCACCCCTAGCTGATATTTTAATCCAGCACCAAAACCCTGGGAAATGTGGCCAGCATCTCAGTCTCAAGTAACGGCATATCCCCCGCAGTGAGCAAAGAAACTGCCCAAGCTACCTGGTGTCCCATGGAACTTTCCCCTTCCATGCATGTCTGATAGAGGAGGTTTGGTAGGTTCACACATGCACCCCTCCCAGTTGGGACAGGATCCCCACATCTCCACACCTCCACATCTGGAGGGGGTGACCCTCCCCTGGCCACCTTCTTCCTGACAGTAGAGTTTCAGGCTATCTCAGGATGACATCTGCTGTCCAGAAGCTGCTCAAGGGCAGAACAGCTCAACTCTGGAACCTCCAATCTTCTCCCACAACTGCCGGAACAGTGCTCATCTCAATGGGCCTCTCTGCCTCTGCAGAGCCCTTTGCCCTGGGCAGGGGTGGGCAGGCAGGGCAGGTCTCTATGTAGCCAGTTGAGACGAGGGCTACTGGGGCTCTGGGCTTATGTAGCTGCTGCCCCAAGCAATGCACCGTCCTTTCCTCCCTGAGACTCTATGTATCATGTTTTGTGCTGACTTCAGACAACCCAGGCAGGAGGACACAGAGTTGTATTTTCCAAGTAGCTGGCAACCCTTAATCAATGTTAATTGGCTCTAATTAGCATATGTTAATTAATGATATTTACTACAAATTAAAGGTATGAGTGCTCCCAGAGGGTTTCCTGTTCATCCAATTAGTGCCAATTAGTTGCAATTAACACGTGTAAATGAGATTCCATTGAACCCAAAACAAACAGTACAGAATCTCTGGATTCCCTCTTGCACCTTTTCGCTCTGCCAGGGGAGCTGCAGTGTGGAGGGCCAGGGATGAGGGAGAGGGAGCAGAGAGGGGGCTGACCTTCCAAAGCAAGACTGGGATCCTCCAGACAGCAGGAGTAAGAGATGAGAGAGCGAAGAGCCCAGGAGGGCCATGCAGCCCTCTGGCATGCCTGGTGGCCTCTGATTGCCTAGAGGAAGGTCTCCAAAAAAGGGCCCTGGCTTGGGCATGCTCTTGAGATCTTGGGGGGCCATCCCATGATATTCTCTAGGCCTGCCAGGCCTCAACCCAGTGTACAGTCCACAGTAAGCATTCAGTAAAAATTGGGTTAAAAGCTGGTTCCTGAAGCTGTAAATCATAGGTAGAGCACCCACCTTGTGTATATGAAGTTCCATTTCTGGCACCATCAAAAAATGCCAGAGGGATCCATGCAGTGTTCCCTAGATCGTCCCAAGAGGTGATCCAAAGAGCAAGACAACAATTATGCGTGTGACATTTTTTTAATGTAATTAACTTCTACCACATTTCTTTCTTTATTGTTTCTGGTGGGTATGTTCCTCCTGCGGTAAGGATAGAGGTCAGAGGACAACGGACAGGAGTCAATTCTGTCTTCTCACCGTGTGGATCCTGGGGATGAAACTGAGATCATCGGGCTTGGCAGCAAGGACCTTTACCAGGGAGTCATCTCATAGGCCCCTTATAAGATCATTTGAATGTAATCTTCATTTACTGACAAAGGTCTTACTTCTCTGCTAGTGTTGCTGTTTCCCAATGTTAGTCCTTTTTCATTCCTCTACTCTCCGAGGCCTAACCCTCTGCCACGGAAAGGGAAATGGCCAGAGCCAAGCATGGCAGTGCACGCCTGAAATCCCAGCACTCCGAAGGCTGAGGCAGAGACTGCATAGTGAGTTCCAGGCAGCCTGAGCTGCATAATGAGACCCCGTGTCAATAAAAGAAGAAAAGAAAAGGAGACAGCCAGATGGGTCTGGCATGGATCACAAAGTGCTCCCTGAAACCCCGTACTGCACAAACCTTCTGTGAAACTGTGACAGAAGATCTGGGGCTGCTGAGATGGCTAGGCAGGTTAAAAACTGATCCCCACAGCCCCCAGGAGAAGGGGGTGAACTGGCTCCCAAAGCTGTCATCTGACTTCCAAGCCATGGCATTGCATGCACGCACGTGTGCACGCACACACACACACACACACACACACACAGGGATTTTTTTAAGCCAACAAACAAAAAAAGCCGAGTATGGTGGCACACGCCTTTGATCACAGCACTTGGGAGACAGAGGCAGGCAGATCTCTGTGAGTTCCAGGCCACAATAGTCTATAGAGCTAGTTCCAGGACAGCCAGGGCTACACAGAAAGACCCTGTGTCAAAAAAACAAAAACAAACAAACAAAAAAAAAACAAAAACAAATGAAGAGTATCTAGTTCCCAGTCACATAATCCCTTGCTCATGCTCCATTCACTTTTCTACACCAAAATCCCCACTAAAGTTGATATTTGTTATTTTGAAATACTTAATATTGACTAGTGCCAGGGGCTGGCTTAGGATTATAGTCAGTGGATCTGAGTCCTTATAGGGCTCACGTTCTAATGTGTATTCTTGCCTTCCTGGATACAATCTCTGTTCAGGCAGATATTGGGTCCATACCCCAGATCTGTGTCTCAGAAACAGTCTTTCTGGACCTCATTGTATTTATCTGTAACCTGAGTATAATACTTATCATGGTGTGTGTGTGTGTGTGTGTGTGTGTGTGTTCTGAAGTGCAGGTGCATCAGAGGCAAAAGGTATTTAATTCCCTTGGAGCTGGAGTTAACAGTCTGGATGCTGCAAACTAAGGTCCTCTGCAAGAGCAGAACATGTGCTCTCAGTTGCTGAGCCTCCTCCCTGGTCCCTGCACCTTATTCTTTAGGACAGAGCCTCTCATTTAACATAGAGCTCACCAGTTGGCTAGGCTGGCCGGTCAACAAGCTCCTGAGACCAGTCTGTCTCTGCCCTCCAGGGTCTTCCCATACCGTGCTCATAAGTGAGAACTTGAGATCTGAACCCAGGTACTTGTGCTTACGTTCATGTTACCAGCTGAACTGCATCTGCAGCCCATAAGTCAAGTTCCTGGAAAGACTAAGACTTCTCACTGTCCCGCCCTCCAGAGGGAACAAGAGGGAGTCAAAAGGGTTGCAGCCTCCCCAGGGCAGGAACTGCCGGCATGAGATTCCACATTGGGCTGAGGGAGACAGGGTGTTGTGAGTCTGAGGCCAGCCTGGTGTACATATCAAGACCCTGTTTCAACAAACAAACAAAAACCATCAAGTTCTGCCCTCATAGGAAGGATTGCTGTGGCCAGCCTGAACAGCTGAACCAGGTAGGTAGGACAACCTAATCAGATTTCACTTGTGGGCCCCGGCTGAGCTTCTGGTGTTTGCTTCTCTCCTTCCCATTTTTCTTTTGAACTAAACTTTGCTTTCCAGTTTTCTTTCCTGTTTTCCTTTCTCTTTTTGTTGTTTGTACTGGGGGTTGAACCCAGAGCCTGCGAATATAGGACAAGTACTGAGCTGCATCCGTCCTCCACTTCCTCCTCCTCCTTGTTTTCTTCTTCTCTTTCTTCTTCTGTTCATTTGTTTTTCCAGACTTATGTAGCCCTGGCTGACCTGGAACTTGTTCTGTAGACCAGGCCGGCCTCAAACTCAGAGATCCATCTGCTGCTGCCTCCTGAGTGCTGGGATTAAAGGCATGCACTACCACCATCAGGCTGGAATAACCTTTCTAAGCCATGAGAGACACAAACAGAATCCAGAAAGGATCCTGTTAACTGGTTATGGGCTTTCTCTCGCAAAGACCCAATGTGGAGTCAGGGCTCCTTTAGACCCAGGCCAGAATGAATAGCAAGGACAGCTTTCTGCCCAAAATCCATCCCCAATTTCAGCCTTGCTATGTGCCCTCAAGTAGGTGTTTGACCATTTCACACACATAGCCTCAGCATCCTTCCAAAATGCAAGAGGGTCTGTTAACCTGGTATCTTGGAGTTTGGGGATGTCCTTTGTAGAACATTGACCCGATTTTATAGTATACACCCTGACATTCTCAGCCTCCTATAGTAAACATAAGAAAATATGATTTCTCTCTCTTCCTGGGGATCCCCTATACCATTGCTTCCCAACCTCCCTAATGTTGTGACCTTTTAATACAGTTCCTCATGCTATTGTGACCCCAACCATAAAATTATTTACATTGCTACTTCATAACTGTAATGTTGGTAATTTTATGAATCATATTATAAACATCTGTGATGTCCAGTGGTCTGGCAACCCTGGGAAACGGTTGTGACCCACAGGTTGGGAACCGCCCCCGTAAACCATGATAGCTTACTGCTCCTACCGGCCTGCAGCCTTTTTCTTCCAATGCTTGACTCACCCTGACCTTCCTTTCTACAATGATGGTCTCTCTCTGGGACCGCCAGATACAATTCTCAAAAGACCAAGTCTTAGAATGTCTCCCTCACTTTGAGCACACCCACACTTGGAGGTCAGTGACAGGAGTGGGGCTGATGGCACTGAATGCAGAGAGCTTGGGGGGCTTTTGTGGGGGAGGGTGGCAAGGTGCTGGAGACTAGACATCAACACCGAAGACCCTTGGGATGAAATATTTCTCCTCTCACCTTACCCCTCACCCCACTCCAGGGAAGAAGGTTGGAGGAAGCAAACGAAAAGACCCTTCGGCATGCCTTTCCTTTCAGCCTAAGTAAGACTGCCCCTGGAGGACTCCAGATACAGTGTTCAGCCACTCACTTGCATTGTTTCCTTGAGAGGGGCTGACATGGGCTTCATGTTTGTCTGCATATGTGTGGCTGTCTTGCACAGGGCCTAGCTAGCTTTGGGACTGTTAAACAACCAATGTGGGCCATGGAAGGTGAAGTAAAATGCTTGCAGTAAAAGGTGCTTCCTGTGTCCCCAACGTCAGCAGCCACATGCACACACATCTCCTCCTTCTTGTCTGCATAAGTGCTGGCTTCAAAACCTTGGGCATACACTAAAGAGGCTAGGAACAATGGCTGGGAAATATTTACCCTGTGTTTTTGTTTGTTTGTTTGTTTGTTTTACTTTCTTATTTTATAATAAAGTCTCACAACTAGTTGCCCAGGTTGGCCTTGAACTTGTGATCCTCCTGTCTCCGTCTTCTGAGTAGCAGGGATTACAAACCTGTGTCACCAGGCCCAACTAGATCCTCGGCTTTTAAAGATGAGATTGGACAGCCTCTAAACCAGCAATTCTGGGCACCCTGGAAAGTCTATGATAGAGAAACAGGTCACTAGAGAAGTATCTGTTTTTATCCCACTAATGCCTCTTGAGAAGTGATTTCTCTCTAAAGCCAAAGTTCCTGAGATGAGGCATTATGTGGACACTTTGAGAGGGGGGACAGGAAAGCCCTTGACTCCAGGAATGTAACAACAGAAAATAATTAAGGTCTAATGAGGTCAGTGTTCCACCTTAACACCTTTTCAGTTCCAGTTAAAACCTCTGCTAATTTGCCAAGAAAAACCAGCCTCACTTGGGTTTTATTATTTGAATCACGTCCTGTCTCTTAATTTAAGCGAGAGACTCACATAAGGATTTTTTTTTTTTTT